TTCATTTTTACTTGTCCATCTTGTATTTTGCACGTCCCTTAATAACTAAAGATAATTACGAATATTTTATTATAATACTCATATTAATTAATGTATAACCTTAGGTATTGGAGATTAATTTGGGAATAAATAATTAATAGCGAGTGTAAGATTGAAAAAGAAACTTATCTTTTTTTAATATGTCGAAAATGTAAATCTACTTAGTGAACAAGTAATAGTGAATATAGGAAGTACTAAGGAAACATAATTTATGATACTCTTTTCGTCTTAAATATTTGTCGTTCTTACTAAAAATATATGTTTCAAAATACTTTTCATTTTAGAAGCTTAAGGCAAAATTAATTAATTAGTTTTTTTCATCTCTTAATAGTAATTGTTTTTAATTTAAGACTACTAATATTTCTTTCGTAGCATATAAGTAAATGATCAATCATAAAAGATAATATCTTAAGATGTAAAAAAAATCAAGTATTTATATTTTTAAATATGTATAAATTAAAATACGACAAGTATTTTGAGACGAAAAGAACATTAAAAACATTTATTTTCCAAGAATTTCACAAATTAAAATTTTAGAAGTATTTTAAATTATTGTTAGATCTTCATGTGGAATATGAGTGAACAATTTTGAGGAGCATATATATCTATGTATACGTGTGTATGTAAATCTATGTATATGTGTATCTATTGCAGACGAGTGAGAAACTTGGGTTGGTCTATTAAAAGGGGCAAAGAAGTTAGGCAATTAGGTGATACTCCTTCAAGTTTTAAATATTGAGTAAAAGTGACAAATAAATAAATAATATTAATTAAATTAAAAGTATTTTCTAAATAGCTCTAAGCTTTTAAGTTGTACACGTTGCCTCTATATTCTTTATTTCTTTACCTTTAAATATTTAAAATTTTATCAAAATAGACCAAAAAAAAAAAGACATTCTTTCTCAACTTCATTCTCTTCCACCGATCCTCTTCAACTGTAACTATATTTGTCAATCTTTCTTTCTTTTTCTTCTTGTTCTTCATCTTCCTTTATTTGCAAAATTATATTTTTATATAGAAGATCTATCAAGAAAAATTTATGAAAAAAGAATATCAAATATATATGTTTGAGTTTTTTGCATTGTATTTGTTTTGTTTAAGCTTTGAATAAACTAAAATGAGTACTATTGATAAGTATAAAAATCACTTTGCGTTAATTCTTGAGCTGCATTTAGTGAACCCAAAATGATTGTTTCAGTCGACAACTTTCGTAGTTGTCCGGACAACTATCAAAGTTGTTTATTGAAATAATTAGGCATGTCTTTGTTGTTGTCCAACAATTGTCTTTAATTGTTTGATGATAGTAGATTTTATCCCAACAACTAGTGCAGTTGTTTGACAATTGTGTTTTGTTGTTGGTCAATTGAAGAATTATAAAAATGTACTTTTTGTCGTATTTATAACATGTACTTAATGATACGATTATTAGAAAACAACTTAATGTTGGTATCTTAACAACTTTTAATCAAAAGCGTTTAATTTTTATATTAACAATTTCTAATGTTGTTGGACAACTGTAACAGTTGAAAGGTCAAGTCCTTCAAACAACTGCATTAGTTGTCTAACGATATTGAAGAGTTAACCAACAATATTGGAGAGTTGTCTAACAACTTTGCATAGTTGTCTAATAATAATTAAAGATCGATCTAGCCATTTTGTAAATTATTAGGTATACACTAAGTCGTTTAATAATAATTGAAGATCAATTTAGTCATTTTGTAAACTATTAATAAGTATAAAGCAAGTCATTTAACAATAATTGAATATCAATTTAGTCATTTTGTTAACTATTAAGTATAAACTAAGTCGTTTAATAATTAATTGAAGATCGATTTAATCGTTTTTTAAATTATTAAGTATAAACTAAGCCATTTAATAATAACTGAAGATCGATCTAATCATTTCGTAAATTATTAAGTTTAAAGTAAGTCATTTAATAATAGTTGAAGATCGATTTAGTCTTTTTGTAAACTATTAAGTATAAACTTAGTAGTTTAATAATAACTGAAGATCGATTTAGTCGTTTTGTAAACTATTAAGTCTAAAGTAAGTCGTTTAATAATTAATTGAAGATCGATTTAATCATTTTTTAAACTATTAAGTATAAACTAAGCCGTTTAATAATACCTGAACATCTATCTAGTCATTTCATAAATTATTAAGTTTAAAGTAAGTCATTTAATAATAGTTGAAGATCGATTTAGTTTTTTTGTAAACTATTAAGTATAAACTAAGTAGTTTAATAATAACTGAAGATTGATTTAATCATTTTGTAAATTATTAGGTATAAACTAAGTGGTTCAATAATAGTTGAAGATCACTTTAGTCGTTTTGTAATTTATTAAGTATAAACTAAGTCGATTAATAATAATTGAAGATCAATCTAGCCATTTTGTACAGTATTAAGTATAAACTAAGTCGTTTAATAATAACTCAAGATCGATCTAGTAATTTTGTAAATTATTAAGTATAAACTAAGTCATTTAATTATAGTTGAAGATCGATTTAGTAGTTTTATAAACTATGTCGTTTAATAATAACTGAAGATTGATTTAGTTATTTTGTAAACTATTAAGTATATACTAAGTGTTTTAATAATAGTTGAAGATCGATCTAGCCATTTTGTAAATTATTAGGTATAAACTAATCGTTTAATAGTAATTGAAGATCGATCTAACCATTTTGTAAACTATTAAGTATAAATTAAGTCGTCTTAATTTAAGATAGATTTAGTCCTTTTGTAAACTATTAAGTATAAACTAAGTCGTTTAATAATAACACAAGATCGATCTAGTCATTTTGTAAATTATTAAGTATAAACTAAGTCATTTAATAATAGTTGAAGATCGATTCAGTCGTTTTGTAAACTATTAAGTATAAACTAAGTCGTTAAATAATAATGAAGATCGATCTAACGATTTTGTATGATTATTAGATATACACTAAGTGGTTTAATAATAGTTGAATATCAATTTAGTCGTTTTGTGAACTATTAAGTATAAACTAAGTCGTTTAATAATAATTGAAGATCAATCTAGCCATTTTGTACATTATTAAGTATAAACTAAGTTAAGGCAAGTCATATTCATCCCAACAAGCAAGTGATCAATAAAAATACAAGCATATGGGTCCATATGCCGCACAAAAATGGTTACTCGGCACATTTTTTAGACGCTCATATGACCATGCAACATTCAACAAATTTTCAAACAAATAATTGAACATCCGGCTTTGCTTGAGTAGTTTGGGCCACAATATAAAAAATAAGTTGGATCAATGTGAAAAGTCAGCTCATCACACACAAGAATATTGCAATCATAAACTTGAATCAAGTTTTTCTCCATCACTTTCACTTTCATCACCTTCTTCTTCTCCACTAGATTTATCTCCATCACTTTCATCATCTAATTTTTTTCGCTTGAATTTTTGCTATTTTCTTTACTTTTTTCTTCATCTAACAGGTCACTGCTGCTCTTACAATTTTTTTCCATCTCACTAGATTGCTTCTCGCTGTTTTTTCACTTTTTTATTTTGCTAATAAGTCATTGCTGCTCTAACTATTTTGAAGTGTTGCAGTACCTCTTTTATTAGCAGTCGTATAGCTCTCATCATTATCTTCAGCATCTAGATTCGATGAAGATGTTTCAATTTTTTTCCTCTTATATTGACACATTATATCTACACTAAAATAGTTAAAAAGTTAGTAAATGATATAAAATTAACTTAATAGGATCAATAGAAAAATGTGTAATTATCGTACATTAAACATCAATAATTATATTGTTTGTCCTACAACTAATCAATTGATCAACAACTGAACACAGTTGTCTAACAGCTGTCGTAGTTGCAAAAACAACTTATCTAATCGTCCGATAATTACATGCAGTTGTTGCACCATTTTGTATCTGAAAGATATACATAATTATTCTTATAAATAATTTCAGTAGTTGTCCAGACAACTTTAAAAGTTGTTGGCTGAAACAACTAAATTGGCTAACTCATTAACACAAAATAATTTTATACAGACGAAAAAACTCTTTTTAGTTAATTTTAACTTCAAGCGGAATAAATGCAATGCAAAATAACAAAAAAAGTTATAGATATATGACAATGATTTTCTTCTTTATGAAACCCTAGTTTTGATATTTTGAAATAGAAAAGAGAAGAAAAATTGCTAGGAAGAAAACACAATAGAAATTATTGAATTATGATTTAGAATTGAAAAAAATTGATTTTTTTCCAACTTGTTGTTCCTTTGCCCATTTGATTCTATTTTATTAATGAAAAACTCTTCAAATTTCTTTTAAATTGGGATTTTATCAAAATTTTAAAAATATTATTTTGAGTCCTTAAGTTGTAAAATTGATAGTTTGGTCCCTTTTTATTAATGTTAAAAACAAGAAAATAGAGGAGAAAAAAAGGGACCCACTTGTCCCTTTTTTTTAATTGAAAACTTAAGAGGCATTCTTACCTCATTTTCTCGAGAAACTTTGAGGAGTATGTATACCTATGTATATGTGTATCGAGATACATATATATGTATATATATAGAGAGTAATGTAAATATAAATTACAAAAAAAGATACAACGAAACTGTACTTACGAATATAATAAATTGATCATCTAATATCCCAAAAAATATGAAATACAAACAAAGAAGAGTAGAAACACAAATAAATACATAGAGTGATGGACATACATAATACATAGAGAAAGAGAAAGAGAAAGAGAGAGGGGCTAAGAGAGAGGAGAGAAGAGTGAGTGAGAGAGGACATATATATAATTTTTTTCTTAGCATCTCAAACATTAGCTATGAATTATAAATCCCCAAATTATAGCCATAAATTCTTAGTGATGCCTAAACAAATTTTCTCATAATTAAAAGGTATTGGGCTATAAATTTTTTCCAAATTTTTACACTAGGCCCAAAACTTCATGTTTAAAATATTTCAATCCATGTGATGCATGCTGTAGTTAAGGGGTTAGCTTATTTGGTTACCTTCTTCCATCCTTCCTTCCTTCCATCTTCTCTCACACTCGCACACAGAGAAGCAGAAAGGGTTTTAGGGTTTTACAATGGATAGATACCAAAAAGTAGAAAAACCGAAGCCAGAATCACCCATAAATGAGTACGAGATTCGAATCACTTCACAGGGTTTTGTTCGAAACTACATCAACTATGCTAATACTCTTCTTCAGGTAACTCGCCATTTTTCCATTTTCATATTTGCATTTTTGCCTGTTTCACTTTGTTTTTGCCATAGTCAAGTATCCGATACTGAATTCCTTTGGTGATTAAGGCCTGGCTGTTTTTTCATGTTAATTTTTACTTCTTGTGCTTAACTCCGGCTATATAAAAAGTATTATTGATAGTCCTAAGCCGCAATAAAGAGAGAGCGTTGTCATAAGTTGATAGTCAATCTAAAAAATTATTTGATTTGAGATGAATTTGGCTGAACGAATGGATATGCAGTATTATGCTTCAAATTCCGGGTAACGTAGATGATTGAATAGGATTATTCAGATTATTGCTGTTAATATAGACCTATTGCAAATGCGTTATTCAGATTATTGCTGTTTGGATCATTTTTGTGCTTATGATACTTATTTGAATTGTGAAATTTAAATGGAACGTGGAGCTTACAACGGATATAATGTAGTGTATGTTACTCCATTTACCTTTCAATTCAATAGATTTGTTATAGATTTCGGACTTTATGGAAGTACATTTTCGACAAAATTAACATTCGATAAAAGGAATAGAAATATTCATGTGATTGAGGGTGACATAGTATGGAGAAGTGAAAGGCTCTGTAAGTTTTAAAGTGGCTGCTTGTGTACAATTATGTACAAGTCGATTTGCACCATGTGAAAATCTATGAGTGAATTTCTCATGGTCATAAAATGATTAAGTGGATGTTTTGACATATGCTACAAATGTAACTTTGCTTTGCAATGTGAAATACGAGGGTAACTTTTGCGTTATTAGCAGTCTACTTGCCTAACTTGATGCATATCAAGTTCCAATGGATGTTAATATCCTACGGGCTACGGTGCAGCAAATAAAAAATGAAGAGGTAGAGGAAAAGGGAAATGATGTTTCCTTTATTGCTGGATATTTTGTAAGATGCGGACTAGAATACTGCCGGTTTCTTCTAAACCTTTGAGAATTTCCCAGTATATCCTCTGTTGCACTGCTTCTTATTGTATTGCATCAAGTAACCCCAAAGTTAGCAGGTTTAAAGTTTTCTGCTAATTTAATATATGTCCCTTGAATCAAGCTGCAATAAATTGTTTGACAGAAGTTTGCTGGTCTCACAAACCATATTTTCATAAACAACAATATACCCAATGTGGTCCCGTAAGTGGGGTCCGGGGAGGGTGGGGTGTATGCAAACCTTACCCCTATCTTTGTGGGATAGAGATGCCGTTTCCGATAGACCTTACAAACCTTATTTTGCTGATAAAATTAAACTTTCAACTTCACTATCAGTATTTCAAATACCTTAAATATGACACTGGCAAGTATTTACGTGAGTGGTTATAACCAATCACTTAATCAACTACATTTGAATTCTAGATTAGTTGTAGTGGCTATATGAATTTCCCTATATTCATTTCACTCTATTCAAGTCATTTCATTCCAATATTAAGTAGTTTCTTTTAAGAAAAATGAACTTTTCAAATCAATGTTTTTATGAGTTTTATACTTATCCCTACATTAACATAAAAGTCAAACCATGAATAGACTAACCTCATGATATCACCTATATATTGATTTTTATGTCCATCGTGTCATGTCCTTAGCTAAATAAGCATGGAATTGTGAGAGATATTGGATTTTTCTAGACTTTTCTCCATAACCTCTTTTAAATCATCTTACTGTCACATCTAGGCATATGTGTATTTGTAAGTCTAATTAGAACATCACAAACCATTTTAGATTCTCGTATTATTTTGCGTGGCCACACGGCAGGCTTAACATCCATATCTTTGCGGCACTCATCTTGTGTATATGTGGTGCTTCTGAGGCTCAATTTTACTCTTATATGACATTACTAGCTCCTGAAATTTTGACATATCATGCATATGACACCCTTTATGGAATTTCACCATTAATATAATTGGTTAGCTCATCCGTACTTGTCTTAACAAGTACAGGACTTAAGGAGTGGTTATATGTAGATCAAATTTTCTTTCTCCCTCTGTCTTTGGTGGGATGATTTTCTTCTATAATTGAACATTTGCAATGATAAAACCAGCCCTTTTCTGTTAGTTGCTAATACAAAGTACATATCATAATTGTCTGTTCAGGAGAGGCATGGGAAAGAGATTGTCTTGAAAGCAATGGGTCAGGCAATTAGCAAAGCAGTTGCTATAGCGGAGATCATCAAGGTAGCTTTCTCTGGTCTAGATGGCTTTCTTCCTCTACTTCTTCTATTCTTTCTCCTACTCAATGATCTTAATCTTTTGCAGAGAAGAGTGCCTATACTTCATCAAGACACTGCTATCAGCTCAGTAAGCATAACAGATGTATGGGAGCCAATTGAAGAGGGTCTTTTGCCGTAAGTTTCACCCCTGATTTACTCTCATAATGTTTTCTTCTCGCACTGTGTGTATTCCTAAGCATGACTAGCATTCATGTGGTACTAATTTCTGGAAATTGGTTTTCTTTGCAATATAGTGTGGAGCAGACCCGCCATGTTTCAGTGATTTCAATCACGTTGTCAACACAAGAGCTGAACAACAATTCCCCTGGGTAACTCTCTGCCTTCGTCTGCTTCTCTATGTATGCTGCTCCTGTTGTTTGACATGGCAGCCTGTTAACTATTCAATGATCGTTATTTGAATTGTTTTTCTGATGGTCGTTAATGTATTTTGTCACTGAAAATATGTGGTCTTAACTGATTATTATCTTACTCTTCATGGCCCAAAATACAACTTCATTTTTATAGGTATCAAGCTCCTTCTGAGGTTGAACAGATGAAGCCACAGTATAATAATTACCAGCCCCAGCTGCAGCAACAGTCTCCAAGACAAACACGTGGAGTCTATTATGCTGGTAATGAAGGTAATGAGGCACCAGGCAACATCACTAAACAAAATGATTTGCAGAATTGAACTCGACTTAACTGGAAACTTGTGTAACATCTTGAATACACTACAACTTCATTTTAGATTCATATGGGCGAGGACGAGGTCGTGGTATAGGGAGGGGACGTGGTTGGAGCAGAGGTGGATATGGAAACTATCAAGGTATTCTTCTGTTACTTAAGATCTCGGTGAAGTAATGTGCTCATTAATGTATTGATGATGTAAATGTGGTAATTTTGTTTTAATAGAAAATGGTGATTACTCAAACTGGGGTCGAGAAAATGATGGTTACTCAAACCGGGGTCGAGAAAATGGTGGTATCTCAAACCGGGGCCGAGGAAATGGTGGTTACTCAAACAGGGGCCGAGGAAATGGTGGTTACTCAAACCGGGGCCGAGGAAATGGTGGTTACTCAAACTGGGGCGGAGAAAATGGTGGTTACTCAAACTGGGGCGGAGGAAATGGTGGTTACTCAAACAGGGGCCGAGGAAATGGTGGTTACTCAAACAGGGGCGGAGAAAATGGTG